ATTATTATCATAAGATAACCACAAATGTCCCGAGTTAATAATGAATTCAAGATGGCGTCATGTAAATGTGCATTCCTCGATTTAGCCGCTAGTATGAATGCAACTGTACGAGGAAAGCAGAAGCAATATATTTTGCACTTGCAAAAACAAATAATACTCAAATTAAGTTAAAGGAAGAGCAGAAAGAAGATATTCGTCAAATAGTAAATGGAAGGGATGTTAAATCGTTGATATACCAACTTTTACCGTCCATGTTCGACTGCATTAATTGGAGAAAAAGAAATATTTCTGCCGTGTTGCCAGAAACAATTGTAATCGTGATTTCCCCATTAAATGCACTGGTGGGCGACCAAATAGACAAGCTAAAAACTGACATGGGTGTTAAGGCAGTTGTTTTACGCCATGATGATCATGATCAAGAAATGAAAGGTGGGTACTATTAAAAATACTTCATTTTGCTATTTTTGTATATAATACATAATATGTATAGACGGTAAATAGACCCCTTGCCTAAAAACCAACTGGTTGGAAAGTTTATTGAAAATATAATTAGCATTAAGCAATCACTATTAAGTGTACTTGCCATGTTAGGGTCTTGGGGAAATGTTTCCCTTATTTTTCTGTTATCAGCAGCTGTATCAAAATGTATGCATTATTAAATAAATTTATTTGTCTTTTTATAGCTTACAGTATGTATCAACAAAGTATGGATGTAAGGCCTCAGAGGTTCGCCAACAATGGATGTAAGGCCTCAGAGGTTCGATCTTGTGATGAGGACAAAAACAACACTGTAAAGTGTTGCAAAGTGCAGAAAGGCAAACAAGAACAATAGTCAAAAACAGAAACACCAGGCTAGTTATTAAAAATATTATTGCCCAGCAAATAATTTGCAAAAGGGGCATATTCAAAAAACATTTAGTATATAAAAATATTTATTGAGTAATGTTACAAGTGACTTGTTGCTTGTTTTTAACTAGAGTAGTCAATAACTTATTTGAGGACTATGTTTTGCTCAAGGCAAATTTTAACCCATTGAGCCACAATGCGCCCAGGGCCGTATGCAGGATTTTTTCACCAGAGGGGCAGTAAGGCCTATATGCCGAAAAAAGTCCTAAATATCCAAAGAATAATTAACAATGACATTCTAAAAATCGTAAATATAGTTTTCTCTGGGGGGGGGCAGTTGCCCCCACCCCCCGGTTGTGTACGTCCCTGAGTGTGCCCTACTTATTTTTTTTACTTGTCTAACACCAGACGGTTTAACTCGTCAATGGGGATAGCCCACAAAGCTCTGCAGCTTAATGGGTTGATAAAAAAACTGCCAATGTCTGTAGTTAACCCATTGAGCCGCAATGTGCCCTAGTGCGCCCTTTTTATTTTTTACTTGTCTAGCGCCAGAAGATTTTACTCGTCAATGGGGAAGCTCAATGTAATTAACTTTACATGTCAATTATGGTCATTACCTATGGTTTAATAACAAAGGTCAATAAATATGGTGCTTGTGTACATATAATTGATTGCAATGGTTTTCTTTAGGTTATGTTTTTGTTTTGACTTGTTATTAAACCATAGGTGAAAACTATAATTGATCTGTAATGTTTAGTATAACCAATTTCTCGTATAAATATTTATATTAATTTGTAATATATGTATTTTTTAATATTTATAGATATATATATATTTTTTTGCATTAAAAAATTAAGAGTGATGAACAACATTGTGTCATTTACTATTCTTACAGGAAATTAGGATAAATTTCGTATAGGAATTCCTATAAGATGATATGTCATACTGCAAAACCTGAACAGTCAAAGTGATGTACTTTCCAGAAGGGTGTATTTATTAATAAAATGTTTCAGTGACAGTGTTAAATTAAACAAACTTTAGCAACAGGTAGCTAAAATGCTTCTTATGGTGAAATAAGCTTAGACTTGACACATAACTGGTTAAATTACTTAAATATAATCATGAATTGTTATTGATTGTATTCTAGTTTGGATAAATTTATTCAATAGTTTGGATAAATAATTTAATTCCATCTACAAAATCCCTTCAACATTTTGTGTGTGAAAAGCCAGCTTTTCACCTTGGGTATTAAACAGTCGAGCTTGGGGTTCTCAAACAACACTGGTTCCATTGTGAACTGTGCATTGTGATTGTGCAAACAGAACAAAATGCTTCCATTAACTTTGTGTATCAAGTACTTAATAAATACTAAATTTTCGTAGATTACATTCTAAATTAGACTCTTCAAATTGTCAAGTACAATGTATAAAATTGCGTTGATGCAAACAGATAGGTGGAGGGCGACAATTTACACAATAATATTGTAACATCTGCGTACACGGTACACAATATATATTAATTTCCATAGTCGTGAATGTGACTGATAATCCGAGTCTTGAACTTTATCATTCAATTCGTTTCAAATGTATCTAATCCTTCAAATATCCATGTAGTTAGTTTCCAGCAGTCTTGAATTTGTCCATATCATAATTTAAGCAAAAATTTACATGTAAATATCTGATTTCTACCATAATTTAATACCAGTTTATAATAATTGCCACTCTTCGCGCCAGCCATTGTTTATTGTTAACCCGCATTTCCTTCCCACCCGCAACATTCCTTTAGAGCAAAAGAGCCAATCACAATCAACTGCTCAACAGCCTGAACCAGGGCCACTGTGATGGCCGCCCGAGCTTGGGCCTGGGGACGAGGATGAGGAATTTTTGTAAAAAAAAAAGGAAATTTTGAGCAGTTGGGAAGGAAATTATTTTTTTGAAAGTGGAAGTGGAAGCACTGAATTTACACCCCGCCATTTTTTATAAACAGCTCGTGATTCCGAAGTTACAATATTTCGCTCGATATTTCGAGCCGATGAAGCCTTATTAACCGTGAATAAGCGAAGATGAAACATCAGGGATGATTGAGTAATATCCAGGTAAGAATCTTGTTATGTTTTATGTATAATAGAGCAATTTTGAAAGGAAATATTTGCTATCTTCATTCGTGAATCTTGAGAATGCTCGTGTTTGATGACCTTTGATGTTTCGGCTTAAAATTTGAATTTGCCGAGCCGATGAAGCCTTAATAAGCGAAGATGAAACATCAGGGATGACTGAGTAATATCCAGCTAAGAATCTTGTTATGTTTTATGTATAATAGAGCAATTTTGAAAGGAAATATTTTCTACTTCAATCTTCATTCGTGAATTTTGAGAATGCACGTGCTTGATGTTTCGGCTTAAAATTTGAATTTGCCGCGACAATATTTAAAACGGTGATAGAAAACATTAGTTTAATTCAAAGCTTACATTTGACTCCTGAAGTCTTTATATTAAATTATGTTTATTCAGTAACTAATGCCAAATAGTTAATAGTTGTGTATTGCCAGATTCCAGTGGCAGTGTTTCTTGTATCAAAATTAAATAATATATTATAGCTTGGCATCTACTCAAGTTTCAATCCTCAATTCTTTATATGTTTATAAATACCTAGGCATATCCCAGCTAAATGTGCATGTCTCAGTTACATAATAGTCATAGAATAAAAGTTATTCTGAATAAGGAGTACATTATATAATAATATATTTGAATTTTTTTTTTTTTTTTTTTGAATTGAATTTTATTTGCCCATATGAAAAAGTTAATATTTACAATCTAAAGTATACAATAAAATATGACGGGCTAGGAGCCTTCATGAAACCCTTTCAGGCTTTTTGTTCAAAGGTCCCTAGTTCTATAATATTTCTACAATTGTTTTATATGGTAAGTTAATCATATAATGTCGGAAGAATATAGGAATATTTACAAATACAAATATAAAGTAAGGAAAATTTTAAAGTAAAAGTAATATAATGAGCTAATTGAACAAAGTTTACAGATAATAACAATTAAAGTATATTTTACAAGAAAAATAATTTTGACTTTTTCTTAAAAGTACAATAAAATGTAATACTGCTAATTTCATTATCGAGTGAATTCCATATCTTAACTCCCTTGTTAACAATAGAATGTTTTGCATAATTTGTTCTACTAAAATTTACATGAAATTTGTTAGCATTTCGAGTATTGTAATGATGCACTTCATTGTTCTGTGCAAAGTAGCCATTAAAATATTCAGGTAAGTTTTGTAGACGTTTAAACCGGTACATAAATAAACAACTTAAAAAGTCATTGATCTTAAAGATATTCAAGATCTTTAAGTTCTGAAACAATGGCTCAGTGTGTTCAAGATACGATTTAAAACTTATCAATCTGATAATTTTTTTCTGTATATTCTGTATTTTCTGTAGCCTTGTTGGGTACGTATTACCCCATACTAGATTCCCATAAGTAAGATATGGATAAACCAATGCATAATAAATCAACTTAAGTGTATTTTTATTTGTGTAATGTCGCAGTTTTGCTATAAGTGCCGCAGATTTAATTATATGTTTAACAACCGAATTTATATGGTTCTTCCATGTTAATTCACGATCTAAAACTACACCTAAAAATTTGATATGAGAAGCCTGTTGTATAATGTTATCATTAAGTTTAATATCGATTTCAATGTCGCATTTTTTATTTCTTGATTTAAAAATTATATACTTAGTTTTTGTTGTATTTATAGATAATTTATTCACGTTTAGCCATTTAATTACTTCATTCATTTCTTCTTGCATAACATGTGTTAATGATTTTAAGCATTTGTCAGAGTGAAATGCATTAGTGTCATCAGCATACATAACAAAGGATATAATTTTACTACAGTTTTCAGTATCGTTAATATATAACAGGAAAAGTAGTGGCCCAATAATAGAGCCTTGCGGAACTCCTGTAGATATAATCAATTTGTTTGATTTATGATGACCAAATTTAACAATTTGCATTCTTTCATGTAAGTAGCTTTCAAACCATTTTAGGCAATTTCCTCATATGCCATAATGTTCAAATTTTTTTAGGAGAATATCGTGGTTAACTGTGTCTTTGCCTTAGATAGATCAAGGAAAATACCAATTGTATATTTACCATCATCTATAGCTTTTGAAATTTTGTCGGTTAGTTCAATTATAGCATGTTCAGTTGACCGATTTCTGCTGAAACCATATTGATGTTTAGATAAAATATTATGTTTTTCAATATATAAAATTAGTCTTTTATGCATTATTTTTTCAAGTAGTTTTGAAAAACATGTGAGAACTGAAATTGGTCTGTAATTTTCAAACAGGTATCTTTCATTTGCTTTAAAAATAGGAGTAACGATAGCTATTTTTAGTGATTCCGGGATTACTCCGGTATCAAACGTTAAATCGAAAATATGTGCAAGAGGTTTGCAGATTTCTTGTTTTATAGTTTTTATCATTTTGGCACTTATATTATCATGTCCTGCACTTTTATTTGTGTTTAAGTTATCAATCTCAGTCAGTATTTCAAGTTCAGTAACAGGCTCAGCAAACATACTCTCTCTATAGTTTCCTTTGAGATATTTTTCAAATTTGGACCAACATTTACAAAATATTCATTAAATTTGTTAGCAATTACAATTGGGTCAGAAAAATTAATATCTCAGTTCTTTTGTTGAAACACGTGAGAAAGTTTTTCCTTCTTTTTATTTCTATTCAGTAGTTTATTAATTGTTTGCCATATCATTTTACTATTGTTTTTGTACTTAATAAATTGATTTTCAAAGTAATCTTTTTTACTAATTTTAATTAAATGTTTTAATTTATTTTTGTAAATTTTGTAAATAGTTTTGTTCTTTTCACTTGGGTTTTTTAGACATTTTTTATAGAGTCTGTTTTTAATTCCAATAGACTTAGAAATACCTTGAGTCATACAAGGGCTTTTATCGTAATTAATTATATTTCGTTTTTGCCATTTTACTAAAGGAAAGCTTTTATCAAACGCTTGTATTAGTTTATTATGGAAATTCTTGTATGATTCAGAGGGGTCATTGTCTTCAACAATAATATCCCATGATATATCTTTCACAGAATTAGAAAATAATACAAGACTTGCTTTATTAACTATTCTTTGATGTTGCGAAGTTTCAACTTTAGAACTGTACATTTTCGTTGGGAAAGATGCAATATGAAAAACTGGAAGATGATCTGATATATCACTAAAAACTAATCCATTCTTACTGGATTAAATTTGTTCTAGGTCATTAATGAATATATTGTCAATTAATGTTGCGGTATGTTCAGTTATCCTAGTTGGTCTTGTAATAAGAGGCAAAAATGATGACGTAAAAAGTTGCTCACTGAATCTGTTCGAAAAGTCACAACTTTCAGTTTTTAAGAGATCGATGTCAAAATCGCTCATTAAGTAAGTTATTTTTTTTGACTTATCAATTTTAGTAAGAATTTTGCTTAAATTCGTTTCAAATATTTCAAACTTTCCTTTTGGTGGTCGATAGATCGTGCCAACAACAATATTTTTGCCAACTGTTGTAATTATTTCAACGAAGAGCGATTCAATTATTCCCTCTTCGTTGAAATTAAGGTCAGGAAGAAGTTTGAAATTTATATCATCAGAAATAAACATTCCAACTCCTCCGCCTTTTTTATTGTTTCTGTTTGAGCTAATGAAGCTACAATTTTCTAACTTAAAGTCTGTAAAGTTTTCATCATCAAGCCATGTTTCTGTTAAACTAATTATCGAAAATGAGTATTTAAGTGATTCTAACAAAAATTTGTTTACTATACTTCTTATGTTTAAATTCAAAATAGAAAATAGGTTATTATTACTATTTGGTATGTCACACGAAACATCATTTGGAAGGTAGTATTTGCATGTAATATTATCAATGTTAGGAAGCATGTTGTTGTCGTACGTATCAACATTATCAGTAGTTGTGTGTGAGTTATCAATAGGGTTAAATTTAAGTTGCATCAATCTATCCATATCCTCATCGATCACATTGAAGTCGAGAAAAATCTCCAAAATATATATCATCTATGTTTATATCATCTATTGAGCTAAAAGGTAGTGAGTCGCTTAAGCACAAGTGGAATGTTTCGATTTCCGTTTGTTGACATGTGAGAGGCGATTTAATGCAGATATTCTTAGCATGAAACCACCTCCCACACAGCACACAAACAATGCCGCGTTTATCAATGGCTATTTCACAAAAACATGCAGAACATATTTTTTTGTTTATGTTTATAGAAGCCATTTAATTTTTTTAATCAATTAGATAATAAAATGCGTACTAAATATAATTGACCGATAATACCTTTAATTATTATGGGGAATAAACTCCACATTGTTAATATAAAGTTTATCACGAACCAAACGCACTCTCTGCTTTGCCGCCTTTGCTCTCCTCATCTCAGGGTAGAGGGTTTGACGCACTCTCTCAATCTCTTCGGGAAACTGTTTGGAGATACCGATCTTTGTTCCCCTTAATTTTTTCGCATTGAAGCGAATTTTCTCCCGATCGGGGAAAAAATTAAATTTTGCAACGATGGCTCTCGGTTTTCTGCGGCCATCGTGTTTCCTACCAAACTCTGTGCGCTCGATCGATCTTGATGCTGCTTCTTGCTTCTGGCATATCAAGTTTTTCCTCCAACAAGCTATAGATCACTTCAATGCAATCTTCCTCTTCTGCTTCATCAATATTGTGGAACAACAGGTTGTCCCGCATTGATCTCGCTTTGAGGTCGACCACACTGTCTTGTAACCGCCGATTCGAATCTTCCAGTTCCTTGATCCGTGAGTAGTTTTCTCGCTCCGTCTCCTTTCTTTTCACCATTTCCTCCTTCAAATCACTAATTCCCCCATGCGCAAACTCGATTGATTCTGTTAGGCTTTTTACATTTTGCTCAACAGATAATATACCCTCATTAATCAAATCGAGCGTCTCTAATTTCACTAGCACAGTCTGCATCATTTTGTAAAGCTCGTCAATCTTGCACACTTCGTCTATACTTTCTACTTTTGTTTCCTTCATCGCCTTAGGTGTCACATTATCGCTCTTTTTAGCTTTATTTGGTGAGTTTTGGACAGATTTTGCAAGTTCTTGCGCACTGCCTCTCGAAGGTTGTTGTCTCTTCGACATGATATACAATATGATGAGGGCTAAAGGGCTAAAGACATAACTTGAAGTATACAGTAATGTATTTAACCCTTATGCGCACGCTCAACGCATTTTACAGTTTAAAAATGGCAATAAAGCATGTAAGTAAAGACATTATAGTGCCCTTTAACACTATCGTAGTCTATGAAAAGATGTTCCTAATATATATTGTTTCTTAAAGGGCACAATAATGTCTTTAGTCTTTACTTACATGCTGTATCACCATTTCAAATTGTGAAATGCAATGAGCATGTGCATAAGGGCTATAAAGACATGTAGTATACAGTTATGTCTTTAACCCTTACGCGCACGCTCACGGCATTTCACAGTTTAACCCTTTGAGTTGCAGCACTCTCCACTTGACAAGTAAAATACGAAATTAGGGCGCATCAGGGTGCATTGCCAGTTAAAAGGTTAAAAATGGCAATAAAGCATGTAAGTAAAAACATTATAGTGCCCTTTAACACTATCGTAGTGTATTAAAAGTAGTATAGAAGTCTATTAATTGATCGTACCTATACATGGTACGATCAATTGATAGTTGCATATAAAAGAGGTTATAGCTCTACAATGGCCCTAATAAAAGCGCAACATACCTGGATGGAATGGTTGGATGGTAATGCTAGTATGGTACGCGTCTTCTCTTTTGATTTCAACAAAGCTTTTGACACGGCACCGCACGAGATTTTATGTAATAAGCTGAAGAAGCTTCCTATTAGTCCCTATATTACCAATTGGATCATCAATTTTCTAACCAATAGGTATCAACGAGTCGTTGTTTATGGCGTTAAAACAGAATATTTGCCTATAAATCGTGGAGTTCCTCAAGGAACAGTATTAGGTCCAATACTGTTTTCTATAATGATTAATGATATCCGTCCTGTCCAAGCCTCAAACGTATTTGTTGAATTTGCAGATGACATAAATCAAGGGATTAAGGTCACAGATGATAGTGACGCCTCTTATATGGAAACAAATAGCCTGCGAACAGGCTCTCAAGCTGAATTGAGAGCCTGCATCGATGACTAATGAATTCGAATACCTGCGTCTCAAATCGTGACGCGAAATTCTCATTGGTCAGATGCTATAATTTATATGTTTCCGCTGAGCTCTATATATGTCAACTGCAGCACTTAAATGCATAAAAAACACATTAAATGATCAAATTGGTTTTGGCCATCTTATCTCAAAGCACGAAATGATCTGATTTGAGAAAACAGTATTTAAAACATTTGAACTTTTGCTTCAATATCTTATATTTCGAAAAACAGTATAAACTGTACGGTCTAAATTTAGTTTGCACGGTCTAAATTTAGTTTGCACGAAAGTTGTAAACAACACCATATAAGGATAGGCATTCCATATTTGGAAAAACGAACGTTACGGGGCGGATATTCAAATTCATTCGTCATCAGTGCAGGCTCTCAATTCAGCTTGAGAGCCTGTTCGCAGGCTAGGAAACAAATAATATTATCAACTGGGCGGAAACAAATCGCATGAAACTTAACTATAAAAAGACGTGGGAGATGGTCATTCGCGGCAAGGTAACCCGGCCACTTCCTGCGCCTCTGCCTATGATTGTTCGTAAAAGTTGGTTGAAGATACTTGGTGTAACGTTTCAAGAGATTCCTTTCATGTGGGACCATCTAGATGAATTAATGAGTAAAGCCTGTAGCAGAATGTACATTATTCGGATTTGCAAATACTATGGATTTTCTAGGAAAGAGTTGGATCTTCTGTTCCACAGTCTTATTTTATCAATATTAGTTTTTGGTATAGAGGTTTGGGGATGTCCGTCGTATTCTAAGTATCTTAGTCAAGTAGATAAATTTTTAAAACGTGCATATAAGTATAGATATCTTATGTATCAGGTATCGATTGTTAATATATTAAACAATAAAGACAGAGATTTATGGGAGAAAAATAACTACGGATCCCAACCATGCCCTGCAAGTTTTGCTGCCTCCTAGTCGTCAATTAGAATTACGCAATCGCGGACATGAGTATGAACTACCGAGAGTTCGAACAGAAAGGTTTAAAAGAGTGTTCGTTAATAGATGTCTTTTTAACAAAATATGATATTTTTTAAATTAGAAATTAACTTCTTAGGAACTACATTGAAAATTATAACAATGGTATTTTAGCTCTATTAATGAATAATATCAATACTAATATAGTAATTAATATAATAATTATTGATAAGTAAGTGCAAATTGTAAGCCCGCACGTTTGTTGTGAGGTGTTGCTTTTAAAATTTTATTCAAAAACTCATTAATAGTTCATGAGCAATTATCCAATCTTGAGTAAGAAATTGGTCACGTGCATACGTCTTTATACCGGCTAAAGAACACTTTAACAAAAGACCATTGTTATGGAAACTATATAAAGATTTTATATAAAGATTTTTATATAAAGATTTTTATATAAAGATTTTTATATAAAGATTTGACTTATTATGCAAACGTTTTTGAAGCCATTTAAAAAACTCGCAGGTCGTGTTTTATTAGGTCTAAAGCCACTCGCGCTGCGCGTTCGTGGCTTTAAATTTAATAAAACACTCCTGCTCGTTTTTTAAATAGTACATAAAGATTTATACATACATGTAACCTCTATACACTCTTTGAATTTCAATTGCCGCTGCTGTTTCCCTATCCGGTCCTCATGTTCTGGGTCCCTCAAAATAGCTTGCAAAATAAAATAATACTCAAACCCATTATAATGTAAGTTTGTTACTTTACTCGTTTTAATACCAGACAATATTACTCATCCACAGCTAATTGTTTGGCATAAGAGTATATGTCGAGGGAAGGCATCCTAGTTTTCCACTTAATGCTGAAGTGGACTAATTAGTCCATATACGACTGGCATTTTGCTAATTTCTCCTACTTGATATTAACCAAAACCTTAGACGTACCACTTCGGCGGCGCAGTTGCCAGAACAAGATTATTTGATGGTTCCGCAGAGGCTTACATGAAGTTTCTAGTGAGGGAAAAGTGAGCGTGCAAGGAGTGATGGGAAGATCTGTATAAAGGAAGCCTCTGCGAGTTAATGCAATCAATATGGCGTTGTATATAATCGTTTGTAGCGAAGTTCGATCAACCATGGAGGGTGTTAAAATATGTTTTCGACTTTCATTTTCAGGCATACTTGAGTATCCTGGGGTGAATTAAATATCAATATCTTCCGTCCATTTGCATCGAAAAATATTGAGAAATTGCAAACGAATATCAATGGATACGAGCTATCTAATTATAAATATCCTCTTAATTGCAACATTTCTTTATAAAAATGACTCTATTGAACTTCGATACTCAGATTATGAAGATTAATTTCAATTTCTTTCACATTTCCGTCGATTTCAAGTTTAAAAAAAGGTCAAACAGCTAGTTTGGTTCAAAAAACATACTTCGTCGCATAATGTGGCAGAGCTTCCCCAACTTCATTCCAATCTTCCCATCAGGTGGCGCGCGCTCACTTTTATTCAGGAAACTTCATGTAAGTATCAAAGCTCCGTTGTGTATGAATTAAAATGCCCTGGATGTAATCTACGTGGGAAAAACTGATCGCAGCCTATATACCCGTATTAATTTAAAGAGCATTCTTCTCTTGACTCTTCTGAAATATATAACCATATTGATGAATTCAATTTTGAAAAAACCCTACTCGAACTAACACCTAATGACGAAGTTAATAACATTAAATGTTCAGTAACAGATTTAATAGTCACTAACTGGTCGTTGGTACTTTATCAAGAGTCTATCTAAACATTTTAGTCATGCAAAGAGCAAATGAATATAACCACGCCATTCTACGATGAAATCTCTAAGTATTTCCAGTCAATTTTAGCAAATATTTCACTAAACAGTGAAAAAGGCATCCCAAATTTCGTTAAAATTGGGGACGCCAATTTCGTAGCTACAAATGTAAAAAAATACAAAACAAAGATGAAAAACATTTACCTTGAATACTTTGTCGTGGCTTAGGCATGTTTTTAAAACAATTAGACCAGTATATGCTTCAATATTACTCTTTTAAAGCGGAAAGTATAGCGAAACAACAAAAATCTCGAGAACTTTGCAATACGCGTGACGTCACAGATTGCAACTAGGTTGTTTTTGCTTACGTCAGCTAGAGTCCTATCCATTTATTTTATTATCCATGATACAATACACCTAAATATATTGTTCAGTTGGCATATAATTTGTTTAATTTTGTACTGAATAAAAATATACCTGTCTTGCATCCTTTGTGTCTGCCGCTAAGATTGTTGATTGGTTAGAAGAAACTAAAAAAACGAAACATTTATTCATTCAAAAGACAAAATAAAAATTTAGAAACAAACGTTTATACCGTCGTTTAATACAAACTGAGATATAAGAAAATTTCCAACATTATTCTATAGAAATAGTTTACCTGGCAGCCAGACTCTGTTTAGCAGGTCCTTGGCTTCTTTTTTTAGACAATTTCATCTCTTTTTTCTATTCAGAAGGCCTTTTATAGTTTAATCGAATCCGCCGCCATTTTGAAAATACTGCGTTGCTTAGCAACGGCTCTCACGACAGGGAAAATTCCCTAGCAAGCAGTCTAAAATTCCTTAGTTTTCCCAAGAAGTCATATTTTAATATGTTAAAACATATATGAAGAATTCCTGCTTATATGGATATTAATAAATCCTTTACAAGAAACATTTTACTGCCACAGAAATGTCTGGATTGGGAGTTTAAAGACTAATTTTATTCCACGTAGAAAGAATGGTGGAAAACCAAGAGGGAGGTGTCACCTGCTTGGACTAGATTACCAGCCGTTACTCAAGTGGGATCCCTACTTAATGCCGGCTGGTAATCTTGCCTAGGTGTCACCTGGACAGACCATACCAATAAGGCTTTGTTTTGGTTTGTTTATCTTTTGTTGAATGCTCACTAGTATGTTCTATGATATATATCCAACAAATGAATTATATAGAGCCACTGTAATTGCTATAAAGGTCGCTACGAGACAGTATATGGGATGTAGACCACCGAAATACTGAGTTCTGATTGGCTGCGGTGGATGTGATCATGGTCTAAGACTGGAAAAGCACGTGGTTATGATCACGTACCCATGCATTTTATTAAAATGTCGTTTGAATTAATATGTCTCTTGAAACAGGTATATTTCCAGATCAACTAAAAGTAGCCAAAATAATCTCATTTTCAAGACTGGCGAAGCAGATATATTCACAAATTATAGATCAATTTCCATCCTATCGAGCTTCTCAAAGAATTATGAAAGAGTCCTGTATAATCGTTTGGTAAAATTTATTGATAAGCTTGAAATTCTTTGTCAATATCAATTTGGCTACCGCTCAAATCCTTCCACCAATTTTGCTCTTACTCATCTGATAAATAAAATTGCAACTGCTATTGAAAGAAAAGAAATAACTATCGACGTTTTCTTAGATTTGTCTAAATCGCTTGACTCTCTTAATCAAGATATTCTCTAAGCTTGAACGGAATGGCATTCGTGGAGTAGCATTAAATTGGATTAAGAGCTATTTTAAAAATCGAAATTAATAATGTTTCTTTTACTCAAAAGCTTATACAGTGTGGTTTACCACATAATCAATATTAGGTCCACTGTTTTTTCTTCTATATGTAAATGATCTCTCTAATTAATGCCTCACAACTGGCAATGCCTCTATTATTTGCAGATGATTCTAGTATCTGTTACTCGGATCCCGCAGTGCTGGCCAAAATATTAAATGAAACGATACAAAACATTGACTCATGGATGAAGACGAGTAAATTGTCCGTTAACATTGACCAAACAAATTATGTTATTTTCCAGTCCAAACAAAAGAAAAGTATACAAGATTTGTCCCTCTTAATTGATGACAAATTGATCATTGATGAAAAAAACTGATAAAATTGCTTGGGCCTTGGTGTCTTAATTGTTGGATAAAAACCCTTCATGGAAACTTCATAGTAACTATGTTTGTAATAAAATTTCGAAGCCAATAGTCTGTCCCGCGGTAAAGATGTATTTGTTGTTGCTTTACACGCTCTTTCCATAACGTTTGCGATGCTTTGTGATCATCACCGACAACGTTGCCGGTCAAATCCATCTGTTGTTGTTTTGAATTCACCACTGATTTCCCTCATGGATGGTCAGATGGCTAAAATGGCCGAACAAGGAATACCTCGTCTGAAACTCACCAATCCTAATTATCGTGCTGTATTAATTGACAAGTTTATAAAGTCTAATTATAACAATAGTATTTGCGACTTGAACAATTTTCGGATAGATATAGCAGCGATATTTTAATTAAACACCAATTTCAGTTACGTAGTCGCATATTAATATTTCTCCGGCAAATAGCCGATTTTTTTTGTTAATATTACAGCAGTTTTGCATGTTTGTTAAAATAGTCGCAACGTATGGAACACAAACGTTCGGGTCAACATTTAAATATCTTTGTGGCTTAAATATCTGTCTGAAAATCGACTATTTCCTTCGTCAACATGCGCTGTTTTCGATGGTGGATGTCTAATCGAATTTGGCGTGGCTTGTATTGTTTTTCTTTTTTTTTTGGGGGGGGGGAGCTAATATTTTCTTTATATCGTTTAATTTTTTACGTATATGGCCCTATTTGCATTATTTCTGCAATTTCGGCATCAACGGCGAGACAGTCCAGTTCAGGCTTATCTCGTCTGATGGACAAACTATATGCCTTAAAAAGAGAATCGCTTTGGTGTATAATCACTTTCTGCACTGAACAGTACATTTCTCCTGGCGGGCGGA